TCTATAACTTCTTAAACTGCTTTTTCATTTTACAAGGAAAACCCACAAAACCAATAGGTTCAAATTTCATGATTACTAATTATAATCATTACGATGTTTTATGCAAACAGAACGACTTTAATGAAAAACATATATTAATATCTGTAACCTTTAGTATAGAGTTAATAAATGACGTCGTCTTGTATATTTTGTACCTCATTCTAATTAATTCATGTTTCTTTGATATACACTTTTAAGTGTAATAATATTAATAATTGAAAATATCATAACGTACTTACCAGCCGTAGTTGACGTATTGAGCCTGACCCCGACGCTGCCACAGACCAGAAGGACGCAGACAATCAACGAACAGACTCCGGTAGCCATTACGTTCTCAATTTACTTCTGCTTTTAGAGAGCAATATAGATGTTCACTTCTAGTGCCTTGTATGGACGCATCTATAACGTCCAAAGTCTGATAGGGATGTGAGAAACGTGCCTGAAGTATGTTTTGCTTCTTGGCAGTTTTATTTCAGCCTCCCTGGTGAGTTGAAATGAGTGTTGCGATGGGAATCTTAGACAAACAGTACTGTGGAGGCGCCTTTGGATTGGTTGATAAGAACTACGCATGGATTCCCTTTGTATCTTACTCAGCGTTCGTAAGATTTACGTTTGTCCCTCAAAGCTTCCAACATGCTGCGTCAAAAACATGGACTTGTAAATAATTGAACATGGTCCTTTTTCAGGGATCATGTTACACAGGATAAAGTCCTGTTGATGTCTCTCTGTCATATCTTCTACCTGCACTGGTACAGGTAGCAGATAGTGTAGGACTTACTCCTCCCCCGAGCAGTTTCTCTAGTAGATACTCGTAGAACGATGCAGCTGTGAAGGATTTTTTTCACTTCAAAATGTCGATATGTGAACTCTCAGGTCTCCACTGTCAGATGATAGGTCAGCTACAGTGGTCTTTCGGTCGAAGATGCTCTGAATCTCTCTCAATCTTCACACCTCTAACTCCTTGTTTGCAGGTGTGTGGATTTCATACACTCTAGTGTCCCCACAGGGAGTGTTGATGTCCAAGCTTTTCCTCTTTGCGCTTGTTTGATGATGGCAGCCCGTCCTTTGTCTTCCTTTTTTCGGAATCTCTTGCAATCGTTACGCCTCTAAGTCCTTGTTTGCAGGTGTGTAGATTACTAGTGTCCCCACAGGGAGTGTTGATGTCCAAGCTTTTCCTCTTTGCGCTTGTTTGACGATGGCAGTCCGATCTTTGTCTTCCTTGGTTCTTAATCTCTGAATCTCTTGCAATCGTTGAGCTTCTAACTCCGTGTTTGCAGCTATGTAGGTTTAACACTTTGTGATGTTCGAAGCCGCCTTCCTTGCACTGCTTTGATGAAGGCAGTCCGTCTTCGTTCTTCCTGGATTCTAATCCTCTGAATCGCCTGCAATCGTCACGGCTGTCACTCTCGGTTCGCTATCTCAAGGATAAGCGCCTCCGAGACTCCGAATGCCAGTTCTCCGAATTGCCGCCACTTCTGCAGTTCAAGCGCGTGCATTTCTGTCGAAGCTAAGGGTAAATGGAAAGATAATGTCATCTGTGACTTGCGATCACACCAGCTGCAAATTGCTATCTTTCCAGCGAAAACATCTGCCTGTAAGATGTACCGCCGGTGTTAAGTGTACAGGCGCCACAAAGATTTCACCAGCCCCTGGCATCTGAAAGCTACTAAAAGAAAACGGTCATCACGGTGTGGTTCACAGCAGACATTCGGTACAGCTGATGCCTTTTCCGACACACCGGTGCTAGCTAGCGGGCATGACTAGCATCGGTAATGTGACCAAGGCGAGATTGCTCCACTTGTTTTGGGAGCAAAACGATTCCCGACATGACTTCTTTTAGGAAAAGGGAATAGTGCTGCCACTAGGGAAATCCTTCCAAATTGACTTGGGACTTGGAAAACATTTGGGAAGCTACTTACGTGAGAATTCATTACGGGAGTGTTGAGATATAAATAGAAACATCAAGTGGGAAATAGGCACCGTAACTCACGTGTATCGATGTGCCGTAATTTTTTTTTTATTTTAAATTGCATCAAACCGTAGCAGTCTGGAAATTGTTTTGACTTCTAGCATGCACAAATACCTGCAAAGAACACAAAATAGCCGGTGTGTCATCTTTACTCTAAGACGCCCATCATTTAGGTTCTTTACATATACCTTAAGCAACGCTTTCTCCAGAAGACGTATTTTCTTTCGGGGTAGCATGGATCCATACGAATGGCTTTCTTCATTTGTGTTGATCACAAATGACTGTTTACAAATTAGAACAGCGAGTAGCGGAGGTCTAAAGTGTTCTCTTAATGCATTTTTGGTAGAGATCCAAGAGCTCTATGATCATGCGAAAAACGTGAATGCCCACCTGCTCATATGTCTTGATCTTCGCTTATTGTGACTGCGTGTTGAGAGACTTCACGCCAAATAAAACCCTCTGCTGAACTCTCTTCCCAGTGGATGTTCCCGGTGGGCACATCCACTTAAAACCTTCCAGAAATACGCCACTATCGAAAAGGTCGTCACACTGATGGCGACGCCTCCCATAACCAACTGCAGAAGATGTTCTGGAGGTCCTCAGCGGTTGATGAGTTGGCGGACTGCTGTGGGGATGTCTTTATTTCAGTGGTACGTGCGCAGGCTGTCGGAAACAACAGAACATGCCCGAGAGATAGGTGGTGTTGAGATCTCTCGGTACACTGTACAAGCTCGGGTAATCTTGTTGCCAGTATTTTTCATGCTCCGCTGGCGATAGCGCTGGGGTATGATTTGCATACTCTCCGTAGCGGGGATGCTGGTAAGGCCACACCAAGTAATTTTTATGGATGACGACCGCGTGCGCATTGATTTCGGCCTGTTTCCAGAAGAAGAAAAAAGAAATTCCGCTTCTTGTAACTATGAACAAAGAGTCATGGCAGTGCTGAAAATCGCAATATTGGAAGATGTGATGAAAGAAAAGAAACAGGGTAGGTCGACAACTGCTGTTCTACTGGTTTTCATAACGACTTCAAGACATTGTTGTTATACTGCGTTCTCCCATTCAATTTGTGTCCGAACAGTATATTTGAATTCTATAGGTATCTTATTTTTTCTGCTTTCTAGTTTTTTTTTTCGCCCTCTCTCATTAGATTCAGGGTCTCCAGAGGTAATCATCCATAAAAATGACTTGGTGTGGCCTACCAATCATCATTCCCTCCCTGCGCAGGCCTGAAAACTACAGACTGTGTCTCTTTAACATAAATTCCAGCGGATTACGAAGAGGATTATCATTCGACATTGCTTCGATTACGCTTTCGGAGGGATTAAATACTACAAATGGGTCTGTTAGGATCAGTGCCAAGTGAATAGGAGGAGGCTTAATCCGTATTTTGAGATAACGTAACTCGAAGTCCCATAGCCATATAAATGTAAATGCGCTTTGTCATCATTTTCTTCATTATGTATACGAAGCAGAATACATTTATAGATTAATTTAATTTTATACCTGGGGTTTTTCAAAGATGCCTTCATGGCTACAAAAATGCTTTTAGTTTAGGCTTGAAAGAAACTTTTTCTGAACATGGTATTTTCTGCGACGATACTAGATTTGACACACTGACCCACTTACTCCTCTTCTGGACATTTTGGTTCTTGAGGCGACAGGAAAGATTTCCATCTAGATTTGATATTGCCTATTAGAGCGCCAGACACAAAATAGTGACATTCAGCTTACAGTGACATGTAGCAGTGATTGCGTTTTTTGCGATTATCTAATAGGTGTCTTACATACACCACAAGTTACATATTAGTATGCTGCTATCATAATTGAATGTATAAAATAAATTGCAGAGGCACCAGACACAGAACAGACATTGATGATCTTCAGTGACATACAGAAATCACACAGTAATGTTGAACATTGCAAATGGAAGGCCGAATACTTTTCTTTTATTTGCTTCCGTAACAGGATTGTCGAGTCGTGGCCTTATAAACTTATAGTCCAGGCGTTTCGCATATATGCACAACATATGCATACAGTACTACATTTTCAATTGAAATTATGTTAATGCGGTGTTAATGTAACGGTGCATAATGTTGTTGACTCTTATACTTTTTTTATTATATCAAATACTCAAAGTCTTTTCGGGAAATTCATGCAATAACCACATAACTCCAGTGTACTGTTACCCTATGTGATTCGTGAAAAAAATACACAATCAAAATCATTGGGTTGTTTTACTGTCTACCATCCACTCTATAGCATATCAGTGAAATGAAAATACAAACCAAGCCATGCATGATTAGACATGACGTATGGCCATATCTTTATAGGACAGTGGAGCATGTTAGATATGCATTAAAACCGAGTTTTTACATTTATAGGAATCATATGTGTTGCTTAAGGCATGATTTCAGCTATATAACCATCGCCTCACAGCGTAAAGACATAAATAAAACAGTACGAAAGAGCGTTTAATAATCCACGGGATGCTCCATCTAAATTAGTAGCTGCTGAAGTGAAAAGATCATTTACTGACAGCCTAATTGGCAGAGTAATAACAAGCGCAGTATGGAATTTTGACATTTTTATTGAGCTGTTTCGTATGTCAAGTTTTCTGATAAATATTACATTACAGGACCTTTTAGAATAAGATCGAAACATCTTGATGTTACTCGGTAGAATTCAGAATAGTTAAAGAATGATGATTGATTTATTGAGGTTTGGGTTCTAGTTCTCCGTTAATACATATGTAATGTATAGAATAAGTGATGTTAGCTGACTACCAGTGACATCGAAGAAAATCGTAATATCATCAATCCTTTTTTTCATGCAAAGAGATGTGATAATTTAAAAGCTAACCAATGAAGACACAAGCAAAATACAACTCTAAGATAAGATTATCATAAGATATGCGGATCACATGTCTTTGGATATCAAGTAATAGTTGGCATCCTTTCGTCTCTTGAGACGATGGAATATGCGCCGTGGGTCAGGATGTCTTCATGCATCGCCTGCTATGGCTGTAGAGGCCGATCCTGGAGCGGCATACTTTGCCGCAGTTGACACAGGTGAAAACGTCTGGTTGTGTGCAGGTTTGTGCTGGTCTCTGTCGTCTACGCTGTCTTCTCTCCTCCCACTGTTCTTCTCTCCTCTTCTCACTGGTTTTGACGCCTGTCTTCACGGCTTGCCTCCATCTGCTGCGGTCGGCTGCCACTGTCTCCCAACTTGTTTGGTCGATCCCTCCTGCCTTCATGTCACGCTTGAGGACGTCTTTGTAGCGGAGGACGGGCCTCCCCGCAGGTCTGGCACCGGTTGCTAGTTCTCCGTACAGCACGTCCTTCGGTATTCGGCCATCGTCCATTCGGCTAACATGACCGAGCCATCTCAGACGCCTCTGGCTGAGCAAGGCGTACATGCTGGTCATTCCGGCCTGTGCCAGGACGTCCTTGTTCGGGACACGATCCTGCCAACTGATGCCCAGGATTCTTCTGAGGCAGCGCATGTGGAAGGCATTGAGTCGACGTTCTTGGTGGGAGTACAGTGTCCAGGCTTCGCTGCCATACAAGAGCGTGCTGAGTATGCAAGCCTTGTATACCACTAGCTTGGTGTTGGTGGTCAGCATTGCGTTGTCCCAAACGCGTTTCCCAAGGCGAGCCATAACTGTTGCTGCTTTGCCGATGCGTTTGTTTAACTCTGCCTCCAGGGACAGGTTGTTGGAGATGGTGGAACCCAGATAGGTGAACGTGCCTACCACCTCAAGGATGTGGTCATCGATGGAGATTCTAGGGATGCTGCAAACATCCTGGACCATGACTTGGGTCTTCTTGATGCTGATGGTGAGAGCGAACTCGTTACACGCATGAGAGAAGCGGTCCATGAGTCGCTGCAAGGCTGGCTCTGTGTGCGCAGTCAAGGCGGCGTCGTCGGCGAACAGCATCTCTCTAATCAGGACCTTGCGAACCTTAGTTTTTGCTCGGAGACGTGCGAGGTTGAAGAGCCTTCCGTCACTTCTGGTGTGCAGGTACACTCCGTCTTCTGACCGATGAAAAGCAAAGGTCAGCAGGAGGGAGAAAAAGATGCCGAAGAGTGTCGGAGCTAGTACGCATCCTTGTTTCACACCGCTTTTGATTGGGAAGGGATCCGAGGATGAACCATCGTACTGGACGGTGCCATACATGTCTTCGTGGAAAGACGAGATCATCCTCAGGAGCTTAGGGGGACAACCAATCCTTTGTAGCAGGGTGAAGAGGCCTTGTCTACTGACCAAGTCGAAAGCTTTCGTCAAGTCAATAAAGGCCACGTACAGCGGGCGCCTCTGTTCTCGGCACTTTTCCTGCAGCTGCCGTAGCGAGAAGACCATGTCAATGGTTGATCTTTCGGCTCTGAAGCCGCATTGTGCCTCGGGGTAGACTCGCTCTGCAAGTTTCTGCAACCGGTTGAGTACTACTCGAGCGAAGGCTTTCCCAACAATACTGAGAAGTGATATTCCTCGGTAGTTATTGCAATCGCTGCGGTCTCCCTTGTTCTTGTAGAGCGTAATGATGCTAGCGTTGCGCATGTCTTGCGGGACAGCTCCTTCCTCCCAGCATTGGAGTAGGAGCTCGTGCAGGTGGTTATGTAGGGCAGTGTTCTTGCCTGCTTTGACGACCTCTGGGGGAATCCCATCACTACCAGGAGCTTTCCCGCTGGCCAGGGAGTTAATGGCCTTTCTAAGTTCGTCAATGGTGGGCGCGTTGTCTAGCTCCTCCATAAGTGGTAGGGTGTCTGTGTTCTCAACGGCCGCTGCGCTGACGACGTTCTCTCTTGAATAGAGCTCTTGATAGTGTTCAGCCCATCTCTCCATCTGCTTTCCTCTGTCTGTGATGATGTCGCCAGAGGCTGTTTTCAGAGGTGCAGTCTTAGTGATGCTGGGACCAAACGCTTTCTTCATGCCGTCGTACATTGCACGAATGTTTCCACAGTCAGCAGAGAGCTGGATGCCTTCACAAAGGTTTAGCCAGTAGTCGTTGGCACTGCGCCGAGCTATCCGCTGAGCGTCGTTCCTAGCCTTCCTAAGGGCAGCAAGAGTCTTCTCTGAAGGCTTCCTCTTGTGGTCAAGTAGTGCTTTTCTTTTAGCTGTGATTACCGGTTCGAGTTTTGCAATTCCAGCTTCAAACCAGTCTGGGTTGTGCCTCTCTCTCTTTCCGAAGGTGCCCATGGCAGAGGTGTAGATGGCGTCGCGAATGTAGTTCCATCTCTCTACAGCGCTGCGTGTAGGGCAGTCACGGAGGGCTTCTTCTACGGAGTCGTCGAAGCGCTGACACAGATCTGGCAGTACTGTCCTAGCTGTGTTGATACGTGGGCGTCCTTTCTGCTTGGAACGGTAGATCCGTCTGGGCTGAAGTCGCACCTTGCTACCAACCAGCGAGTGGTCGGTGTCGCAATCAGCGCTGTGATAGCTTCGAGTTGTGAGGACGCTATTCAGTGAGAGTCTTCTAGTAATGATAAGGTCCAGCTGGTGCCAGCGGCGTGATCTGGGATGGCGCCAGGATACCCTGTGTCGAGGTTTGGTAGCGAAGAATGTGTTAGTCACACAGAGGTCGTGGTAGGAACGATATCTCAAGAAGTCTCTGGCCATTTTCGTTGAGTTTGCCAATGCCAAAGTGGCCAATGCTGCGAGGCCAGGATTCTTGGTCGGCTCCGACTCGAGCATTGAAGTCTCCAAGCAGGTAAAGTTGCTCTGTGGCTGGGATCCCACTGATGGTTGTCTCGAGCTTCTCGTAGAACTCATCCTTGGTCTCAGTCGCAGAGCTCAGTGTAGGAGCATAGATGCTCAGGATGTTGACTGGACCGGAAGAAGTGGAGAGGCGAAGGGAGAGGATTCGGGATGTTCCCTCTGGCGACGGTTCCACTGAGGACAGTAGAGAGTTTCTTACTGCGAATCCTACGCCATGCATGCGGGGTTCCTCTGGTTCGTTCCCTTGCCAGAAGAAGGTGTAGTCCTCTTCTCTGAGGCTACCGTTTGATGGAAGTCTGGTCTCCTGTAGGGCAGCAATGTCAATGTTGAGCCTCATCAGCTCGCGGTTGATGATTGCTGTCTTCCTGGAGTCATCGATCTGTTGTAGATCATCAGAGAGGCCAGGACACATTGTCCTGACATTCCAGCTTGCCAGGCGCAAGATGGATGATTTCTTTACAATACTTTGTCTGTTGGGTACTGAGTTTCCGTCTGCTTTTCGTGTTGGACACTGAGCTCCAGGCACCCTCTGAAGCGGCAGACGTTGGCGGACCGACACCTTTTTGACCGGGGGCTGCCCGGCTTGAGGCGGGCGGTAGTCGGACAATGGGACTACGATGGTCCCTCCCACCGTCAAAGTTGTCCCGTGGCACCCTTCCTGTACGCCAATTTGGAAGGGCTTATAACCCGTAAACTGACAGCTTCCGATTTGTATCCGCACTTAACAGCGAGGCTGGAGTATCCTCTCCAGGGCGCAAAGCCTGGGCCAGAGTATGGGGATCCTGGGTGGCCCAGTCGTCAGGTTCCCCCTCTCGGCCTTACTGACGGGATCCAAAGGAATGCGAAGCATGACGTTTGGCGTCAGCTTGGCTGCAGGAGATGCCGGAACGGTGTTCGTTGAAGCACAGAACCGCCTACGGGTCTCCACTCCGGATTTGAAGGTTTACTCCTTCCTTTTCCCTCACGTGGTTTAGCCCGCCAGCTGAGACGGTTTACCGGGGTGTGGCGCTTGGAGCCAGCACGTGAGAGCTTCGGGAGATGGATGAGAACCGGTGTTGTCCGACCACCCTAAGAGGAAGGGTGCAGCTGCGGGCAAGCAAGGGTACTATCTCTATCCAGAGCCCCCTACACCCCAAGTATCAAGTAATACAGCAGTAATATAAAGACAGATCACTTAATAGAAAAGCAATTACAAAGATTTAATCAAGCTGTAGTGACATGTAGTGACATCGATATTGCTACATTGTATCAAGCGATATAATTTTCACTCTATCATGAATTGATTTTCTTTGTCAAGGAAGTAATTTAGAAACAAACTAGCGGTTTTGCAAGAGATGGGGATGCACAGAAATTGCGTGAGTACTTTTCAACATATCATACCTTTAAAATGTTGCTAAGGTATGCCATGCCTCAATACTAATTAGGCGCCAAACAAAAGAACTCAAAGAACATAAACATTTTAAGTGATTGGTCATTCATTATCCTGATGATGGTAAAAGTGGTCGTCAAAAATTTGATCTCTGTGCAACTCTTTGTTGGAATAAAGTTCAACACTTAACTGTTATTACTACCGACACAGATGGACTTTCATGGTAAAGAATACTCTTTTGGAGCGTATTTTTCTAACGATGTCCTTCAATGACCAAACGTAATGATGATATCTGCCGTAGTGTGCTTGGAGGCGAACATCCGGTACATATACTCCTACGTGGTACTCCTACCTCTCATGGATCAATGACTATTACGTCACTGGGCACAAAGTCCATTTCCGTTCCCTCCGCCTTAATCAGCTGAGGATTAGCCTCACGGTCGTGAATATTCTGGTGGTTTTCATCATGATGACTGCACATTTTCCTCGCTTCATTGTATTTCCACAGAGTAAGGGGTTTTTGGCCAATTCCTTGTTGGCGAAGGTCTCCATCTTAGGTCTACCTGCTGCAACAGCTTTTGCCAGGTTCCACCACAGATTCTCAATTGGGTTTAAGTCAGGAGACTGTGATGGCACTGACTAAGGTCTCAAGAGTGGAAATATTCTTGTAGACATATATACCAGCATTCCATACTTTGGGCATCTAAAACTGCAGAAACAAGCCCCAAAAACTATTCCTTTATTTTATGGGTCGTACACCGTACCATTTACTTTATAGGCTCAAAACACCACCTGCACATGCAGGTTAGTATAGAAAAAGTTGGAACTGTGCAGAAATTTCTAATGTCTACAAGCACCGGTTCAAGTACAGTGGATTTTTACTTTGGCTATGAAATCTAAAATAAAACAGTTCTGGCCAGTGAACTGTCGTATACTATGTACTTCTAAATTTTAATTTACGCGGTGCAAGTAAAATTTGTCCATTTTCAAGGTTAGCTACGCCCGCACAGGTATTTTGAGCCTTGCAATCTGAACATTACACTACGTAATACTATACAACACCGGATGTCGATTTACCTCAAACGTGTTTTGGATAAGTCGTTGACAAATGCGTCACCGGATACGAAAACCCATGTATACAAGGTGAAAACTAAGTACACTAAGTACGTCATTTACTAACGGATGTACGTCAATGCAAGAAAAAAGACGTGGGAGACGCTCATTCTTCAAGTTCGCCCGCTAAGATGACGACTTCAAGCATTTAATGCAACTTCAGGACGGCAAAATCCCCAAAAAATATTCAGGATGAAGAAATCTGTCTAGTTTTTTTTACATCTACTCGTCGAGTCTATTTCTTAGCACATTTTCGTCATCACTTGACGCCTTTTAAAAGGAAAGAAAAATGTAGACTGTAAGTTAAGTTGAAATATACAACGTAGTGGCCTCACTGAGATTTTTCTCTCCATTTGCCTTGAGTAACCCTTTATGTAACGATTTAAATTCTGGCATACGTTTAATCTACGTTATATAAAAGACTTCTGTAATTTCCTTTGGGCAATGAATAACGCTGCCATTGGCCTTAAAGAAAAGAGGGTCGAAGATTTCATTACTTGTGACATTTCTCCCTAAATGTTGCAAGGTGCTTTTTCCATATCGCAAGCAAAAATAATGCAAAAATATGGGTCAGATCTATATATTATGTTTCACGGGTCAAAGACGTAAAGTCGAAAAGAGCTAACCTATAATCCTATCTGACATAATGATTGATAGCATAAGTTAGCATATTTATAAAGTGCAGTAATTGCTCTGCTCTTGACAATTGCATTGTTCATCGAACGATGCTAAATTTCAAAGCAATTTATTACGAGTGTTACAATTGGAACGAATGTGCTGCTTTTATCAAAACCATATGTATTTTGCTGTGAACTTTCATGAACCTCATATGGTGGCAGTATAATGACCAAGCAATCAAAAGAATTGGCAATCCAAAGTTGACCCAAATCTCCAAGCATATAGTGTTCCATCAACGGCTTTAACATCTGTATTCCCGTCCAATAAAGCGATGACCATACCTGCGGCTTGTAACAAGATTGTCCGTCACTGTCAATGCGGTGATTTTATCACAAAGACAGGTCAAAAGACTGATCACCTTAAGTATGATCTAGTGTCACTAACCAAAATATCGTCGACGTAAAGTTGATCAATGGAGCAATCACTACACCTGCAGTTTGTCAGAATACTGACTGTCTCTGTCAATGCGGCGATTTTAACACAAAGATAGGCCAAGGGTCAAGGCTTATGGTCAACCTCTCTCTAGATACTCCAGCTCTAGTAATGACCAATATGTGACACAGATGCCACATGCATGTTTGACGAAAATTGCGTACAGCACGCACCATTAATAGCAAAGTAGCCTAAATGTGCCAAAATGAAGGGAAATAAACTGTAACTCAAACTGATTTTAGTGTGACTGATGTTACTTCTCATTATGTAATTTACCAACTCAGATGAACTTTCAGGTACACATTTTGCGATTCAAATGAGAGAAAGTACTTTATTAGGACTTTCAGTGTATTTAAATACTGGTATAACATGTAATGGTCAAACTGGGTGCAATCGAACCGTACATTTTGCACATTTACTCCTACGTGGTAACCTACCCTTACTAAATAATAATAGTTTATCATTTTTAAATGGAACACAAACGTAACTCATGGTAACATACTTCACATCTGTATCTTATTGTATATTTACTGAAGGAGCAAAAAGCTACTGGGCACTTCTTTACGTTATTCTGTAAGTTCGATTGAGCAATACATCAGGTAGTTGAACTCACGCACCTATCTGCAGATTAGTTTTTCCACCATTTCTCAGGCCCAAGTAAGGCCACAATAAATAATTTTCATGGGTGATATCAGTGCGCATATTAATTTCCCCTGATTTTGAAAAAAAAAAGAGAAATTTTGTTGCCATCTGACAGAGTCCAACATGCTAAAATGGGCAAAGATATATGTTGCCATGCCATAACGTGAATGTCAGGTAAATATGAAGAGGGGAGACAAGACAAGGCTCTGATTTAATGCTCTGTCTTTTACTTGATGCAGTGATGTATTTCATCCCTTTTATATGTGATGATCCCACTGAATCAAAACCATTTGTACAATGATAGAAAACTTTTTTTCAAAGTCGTTTAAGTGTGAAATAGATGTTGTAATAGTTGGCAGTAAATTTAGCACAATACACCAGTAGGTATTATAATGTCTTGTTTACCAAGGTTTATAATCAAAATTCGAAAATGTAGGAATCTTGTTTCTTTGCCCGCCTTGGTTTTTTTCGCCCTATCGCATTAGATTTGAAGTTTTCGGAGGATGTCATCCATAAACTTTACTTGCTGTGGCCTAAGTCGGTGTTTAGGTAATAAAAGGACTTGAAGGATGAAAAATATCCGGAGAAAATAAGTGTTATCAGGTAGATACGTCAGGATGTATGATCAATGACTGGAAGGAAATTACGGGATTTGTAGCCCCGTCTACAGTACATGCTGAAACACATGAAAAGTAGGGTGCAATACAGGAAATAGGATCCTTCATAGGAGCTTCAAGATAAAGAAATTATATAAGTACAAGAGACTGATGCCAGGAAGATACACGTGTTATCACGATGAAAATAATTCATCTCAGTTGACAATGTAAGCTGGAGGCTGAAATCCAATATCTTGAAGACAAAGACAGTTGAAGTGATAAATCTCCTTTCCAAGTAAATGATGTAGATGTCTACAAGACATTATGTAGGAATACCATAGAATGCCTGAGGTTCACCAGAAAGGACTGAGAACTTTCAGTAGGATAATGAAAGAAAAACATCCCACATCATTGTATAAGAGTATCACAATGCAGTCACATGGGTACCATACCAGAACATCAGACTCACAGACCATCCGCCTTCCAAAACCTCGCACAAATGCACAGAAAAGAAGATTTTTGTATAGAATGTCCAGTGCCTGGAATGAAATGAAGTGGTGATGATGTACATGTATATAGCTTTATTTTAATCTGTGTTAATATGTTGTAATTGCCAATGTATTTATATATATGTTTTGTAAATGTGTCATGTGTGTCTGGAAGGACCACAGGAAGAATAGCTACATTTGTTGTAAGCTAAGTGTGGATCCCAATAAAATCAAAGTCAAATTATGTTGGGACTCGTATGAATGGTATCTACAGGAATCCCCTTATAATTAGTAGACGAATGATGAATTCCCTTTGTATGTGGAGAATCGTCGTATGTAG